CGGGGCGACGCGTGAGCGACAGCGCGCGGACGAGCGCGACGCAGGCGCCGTGGCAGGGCGCGCCGGCGGCCGCGGCGCCCTCCGCGGCGTCGTCCGCGGGCGCCGGCGCCGCGCGCCGCGCGTCCCAGGGCGCCGCGAGCGGCACGACCAAGGACGCGGAGAGCCGCGGCGACGACGCGGCCGGCTCCGCGCCCTCCGCGAGCCAGGGCCGCTCGGCCGTGAAGACCGTGCGCCCGGCGAGGAGCGGCCCGCCGTCGTCGTCGCCGCCGTCGGCGACGGCGACGACGCGGAGCCGCAGCGCGAGCCAGAAGCCCCGCCGCGCCGTCAGCGTCGCCGCGACAACGAGCATCACTTCCCGCCGCCGCTCGTCGAGCGCCACAACCACGACCTCCCGCGCGTGCCAGAAGGGCTGGGGCCCGCGCCACCAGCGGCTCACGAGCCAGCTCCGCCAGAGCGCGCCGCCGACCTGGCAGGAAAAGAGAGCGAAATTCCCAACTTTGGAGACTGATATCTCGGTCATTTTCCACTCGTTTCGGCTAATTTTTGGACGAGCGATCATCTCTCGGAGCGTTCTCGAAGCGTGGATGTAATTTCCGGAACGCGCGCGCGCGGAACACTCATGTTGAAGCGAACTTGAATCACTCTTTTCCTGCCCTGGCCGCCGACGGCGTCCATGCGGTAGCCGAAACGCGTCTCGCGGCGCCGCGGCCGCCGCGAACTCGCCGGGTCGAGCGCGACGGCCTTCACGGCGCGGCGCCGGCTCGCCGGCCCGGCGCGCGCGTCGCCCTCGAAGGCGACGGCGTCGACGACGGCGCCGTAGAGCTTCGCGACGTCCGCGGGCCGCATGCAGGCCTTTCCGACGTCGTGGAAGGACAGGTCCACGCCGACGGCGTGGTAGGCGGACCCGCGCTCGGCGAAGGTCGTTTCCGCGCCCGCGTCCGCGGCGTGGAGCGCCTCGAGCGACGGCCGGTGGTGGCCCTCGGCGCTCACGTCGACGAGCTCGACGACGA